TCCTGTTAAGATTGTGGTATTGGATATTAGATTTTTCATGTCCATTAAGATTTGCTTTATATAGTTGGGTGCTCCTGTGTTTGGTGCATACATATTTGTGAGTGTTACCTCTTCCTCTTGAATTTTTCCCCTAACCCGTATATAGAATGAAGTTCTACAAAGACGAAATAGTGGCCATACCTTGCTTCCCCTTGGAGTAGGATTTTTTACTCTTGGGATGTTTTGTGTCTAGATACCCTCTAAAGTCCCATGTAATCATAGCTGGGGCTTTTCCAGAGGTGAATCTAGTGTGTAATGCTGCGATTAAGTGTGTGTGATTACCATATCAGTCTACTCATTGTGTGGCACCACTCTAATCCTCGTAGCCCAGAGTATAAAAGCGGCAGAAACTGATAAGGCCCCTTGTTTTCTTTCCTACCTCCTGCCTGCCATGAACCATTTCTTCTTGTTTCTCCTCTTCCATGCTGCCCCTCTGCCCTGCCTTGAGGCCAGCTGATGAGGGACTGAAACTTACACAAACTATGAGCCAAATAAACCTTTCCTCCTTTAACTATGAGCATCAGGTATTTCATCTCAGCAAGAAGGTATTTGAAATAGAAAAAGAATTCCATGTCTTATTCATGAAAGACAGAGGTAGATTTGTTAGGCATTTAGAAAGTATGAACATTTGGAGTGTTAGCTTGCTATGAGGGAGGCACAGCTCTGATGACAAGAATCAGACTGGTTTGTTAATAGATGACAAGAATCAGACTGGTCTGTTAACAGAAGAAGGGACTAGCTTTTATGGCTTTGCTGGGGTAGGTTGATGGCTGGACATTTCCACTGGGTCATAACTGTGGCTCTTTTTTTCCCTTGGTTCCATATTTGAGGGGATTTCTTTTCTGTGGAACAGATTGGTGGCAATTCTCACCCTTGGCTAGGTCGACATTCCCTCTGATATTACACTGAACTTGCTCTTTGCAGTGAAAGGATGGGATAAACAGGATTCATTCTACACACTGCTAGCAAAGGAAGATAGAGAAAAAGAGAGGGACTCATCTTTAAAGAATCACAGGGCATGGGTTAAAGCCTAAGAATTTAAGTCTCTTGTTTCATGAGGGTACCTGTCCTTTTTCACCCACATGTGCCAAACTCCATGAGCTTTCACATGTTCAGCTCTCCACAAGCGCTCTCTCCCCTGTCCTTCTGAGTTTTAATGGAGACTTCATTGCATTGGCATGACTGAAGAATGGATATCACATCACAATATGATTGGACAAAATGGGTATGATCAAATGATAACAGAATGAATGGAGAAATCCAGCAAGGCCTGTTTGCTTAGGCATTCTTGGCCTCCCTGTGAAGCATTCTTACCTCAAGGTTATTGGGGAGGACCCTTCTGGAATGAGAGGACCTGAGGACTTACCATCAAAGGAGGGTAGATCAGGAATTTTCTTTTTGGCCAGTTCTTAGAAATATAGGCAAAGATTAGCATTTCAATGACAGGTGTTGGGGAAGGTAAATTTTAGTCTGTATTCCTTGCCTGAGGGTGGGAATTTTTTTTTTTTTTTTTTTGGTAGAACTGGGGATTGAACTCAGGCAAGTGCTTATTCTA